CAATAGGCTGTGTGCATGATTACTTTTTTCACAGTAGATTCAGCATCAGGACGGACTCGATGTTAGCTTATTGTCATGATTCTAGAGTGTCTAGATGTTTTTTTTACTGTTACTTTATACTTTGGAGTTCGTCTCCTACTTGAAGATGTAAATGAATCATGATTTTTTATCAATATTGTTCAGCGGTTTGATGACCATCAGACATTTCTCTGAAATTCAATACATGTGTGTTGATAGTCACACTTGGCAGCTGGCAATGTGCTTTTAAGCTGATGAGCCCGCTGGCCTCATCAACAGTTGCATAATTTGCTAAGCCTTTTAAGCAGAAAGGCTTTTGTATAATTTATAAACTAGCCGTGCCTTGAACTGACTTAATTGTCACTAAGGTTATTTGTTTGCATGATCATAGTTGGCAGCAGTGATGGGTAATTCTAAGCCTTCTGGAGCAGCTTTCAGTAACCCGTCAAGATATGAAGGTGTACTCATCCACATTTGATACATTATCGTTAAGAGAGAGTTTAAACTCTCCCAGAAAAGAAGGCCAGTTTGTGCACATTGCTATATTCCACACAAGAGACCCAGCATCAGTGCATCATATTGAGTGAATTCATGTTGTGGTCTTTACGAATTGTAAGTCATCAGGTAAAACATAATGAGATCAATCCACATCATTTTAATTTACTTATACTGTCACATAAAACCCAACCCATCCTCCTAAGATTTCCCAACGTCAAGAAACTGTCGAACTAAAGTGTCCTTATCCTAATGGTAGTGCCAGGGACTTGCTCTGCATCCCCGTACAAGGTCAGGTCTCACTGGCGTCAACATCAACACTAATTAGTAGTACATGTAAATTAATGCGATGACTATAACGGTTAGTAAATTCAGCAGTATTTAAATATATAATGTGAAATATATTTAGCGCTTTGAAACTGGTTTCCCATTGTTTACTAAGGTTTCTCATACAGCCTCCTATTTGTATGTGTTAGTATTTGAATGGTTACATAAATGTAATTGCTTATCTTTTTCTGTAAGAAGAGATTACTTGGCGGCGTTGATCAAGCATCCAAGTGTATATATTTGTGCATCCAAAGAGAATACGTAACCCAGCTACTGACTTGTGAAAAGATTATGTTTCAGTGATAAGATTGGAACGTATAGCCTCGTACTCCATGGTCAGTGCCTGCCCTGGCACTGACCTGTGTAAGCACCCAGTACCTGCCCTGGCAGTGACCTGTGTACACACCCAGTGCCTGCCTTGGCCCTAATGCATCAATCTGTTTAGTCGCAGCCCGTGACACCGCCAACGCCCTGGCCTATTTCCAACGACACATTCTGGCACACTCGCCACCAGAGGGCGGACCATCCACCACTACCACAGGCCAACACCAGCACATATAGCTCATCGAGGCACCTGGGGGGGGGGGGACGGTGGACCAGTACTGTGTCCCCGATGACAATGTTGGCACTGGCGACTGGATAGCGTCAGGTTTCACACTTTGAAAAAAAAACAACAACATTGTTTTATTCTTGAAGTATTATCAAACAGTAGGTACTGATTTCAGGGAAGTTATCTAAATGTTCTGCTCATCACACTTCCACCCCCCCCCATCCTAGCAGCGGAAACATAGACCTTATAAAGATATCAGTATCTCCTAGTCTCCTGCCCCCCCTACAAGTTCTCTACCCGCCATACCCCTGCCCCCATCCCCACCTCCCCCCAGCCCACATGCCCCCACCACTTCCAGACCCAACCTTCACACATCCACAGCTTCAAAAGTCAATTGCCTACTATTTTATTTTTTGAATATTTCATTAATTAAGATTTTCCCAAGTTTCTTTCATCCTGATGCTCCTGTTACCTAGCAGTAAATAGGTACTTGGGAGTTAGTCAGCTATCACGGGCTGCTTCCTGGGGGTTGGAGGCCTGGTCGAGGATCGGACTGCGGGGACACTAAGCCCCGAAATCATCTCAAGATAACCTCATGATAGTGACATGTGATACACAGTGACACATACTGAGACACGTAATACTGCACACATGAGACATCCGGACACACACACACACGTGTTCGAGTCGACCCAATCACCCAGCAAACCCAGACATACCTTCAAGTGATCTATAATTATGACCCCCCATGACCAATGTTTATAATCCATATCCTATAACTGGAAGCCGTCAGCATGATGAGTTACTTTGGCCAAGTCTCGGTCTTTTGAGTCACTGGTACAGCCATTAATAATTAATACTGTATTCTAATATGAATGTTGCTTTCTTTATGCTGCCTTAAGAGTTATATGTGTGTTGTTGTTTGTTTGTCAACACAATGAGCGGTGGGAGAGCGTTAGGTAGGCGAGCAGCGCCGGGTGTCGCGCCCGAGGCTCAGTCACTCACTTTTGTTTTCCTCTAATAAAGACAAAAAGAAGAAGAAGAAGAGCAGCAAGAAGGGAGAGAAGGAGGAGGAAAAGAAGGAAGCTCCTCCTCCAGAGCCGGAGCCAGAACCGGAGCCGGAGCCGGAGCCGGTGCACGAGCCGGAACCGGAGCCGGAGCCGGTGCAAGAGCCGGAGCCCGATTGCATCACAGGTGAACAAGAAGACGCGGACGTGGTCGTCAGCTACTGGGAAGAAGGTCGTACCGGCGGTCTTGTGTGCCTCTCGCCCTCTGCCGCAACTGTCACATTTATACCACTGGTGCTTCGCCTCTACGCCTCCCCTTTCATGGCTCCTGTAGTGTACTCAGTGTACTCGACGCAGAGTACAATAGCGGCAGCTGTAGGTTGAGGTGGGACGCAAGCTTCTGCGGGGGTACTATTGCAAGTAGCTTGTGCTCTTGTTTTAGTCGCCCTGGACCCGTCCCCATATTCTGGGCCAGGCCGACGCCCCCTCGACTAGGTCGACATGCCTGCACCAACGCCGACCATGTGGCGACCCGCACCCGTCACCACATGTCCCCATTGGTACACCCATGTTGCAACCAACTTGCACAGTAGTTGAGTAGTGCCTATGCCAAATGCTACACTGCTGCGATTGCTAGCGAACGGCTAAGCTAGCATTATACACCTAGCTAAGAATGAACAATTATTCCAGCATAAATGCTGGCAATGAACTGTCATTCTAGTAAATGGTGAGTAGCCATGAGCACAAAATAGATGGGCAGGAGAGTGCAGGAGGCGGTCGACAGAGGAACTTCGGCGTGGAGACGGACCACCTGACCAACGGTTCTACATACCCAGAATGCTGCTAGCTAATGCCTCTCCACACTTAACTACATTAACATTTAACTTCGTCATATTTATGTCTTACCCTCTGCAGAGTAGCAGGAGGATGTAGCAGCGGATGTCTCGTATGTCTTATTGTCCCACGCTATAGTTTACCCCCATGTTCCCTCATTCCTCTAGTCTCAAATCTGATATAATCCCTTGAGCCAAAAGCCTCTTCTTCTCTTAGGTGGTCTAAAACCATCGTAATTTTCCCCCCCCAACGCTGTTGCATTTGTCTGCATGCCTTAGTATTCTAAGTATGATGCCACTGTGATCTGTGGCTCACTCTAAGCCTTCCCTCTCTCAAATTTAAGTTCAAGTTCAAGTATGCTTATTGAGACAAGAAAAAATACATCTCAAAGAGATAGAGCAGCTTAGGCAATTTCTAAACCCCTATCTCACATATTGATTTTTTGGCTCAAGGTGTCCTCACCACCTAACTTTCCTTAGGAAAGAATTTCTGTCATTGTGTTTTATGTCCACATTGTCTCTTGAGGTGTGTGTTAGAATGTAGGATTAGATTATGTTAGTATCCCAACATGCCTATGTTAGTTAGAGATGTCCTTCACACACCACAACACTTTACTTCCCACAGTTTTAAGTGCCCTTAACATAATATTTTACCCCAAAAACGCCTCATTTCAGAATACTGTTCACATATTATGTTTGTTGGTGAAAAATTATTTATTTCGTTTGCACATTTTGCCGGCTGGGAAAACTACACATTTTTTCAGGCTATTTTATGTTATTTTCCTAACATTGAAATTTTTAGTTTTATTGTTTTTGTAATTTACTAAGTAATATATTAGCTTAATGGATTTTATGAAAACATAAAATAAAACGTAAGAGTTCACTGATGACTGTTAAGGGCAACATTTTTTACGTAGAAATATATAAACATACAAATGTTTTCTTTTATAGTTTGCATGGATCGTAAATATGGTTCAATGTTTATGTAAATTAGTATACAAAAATATACGTTATAACTAATGGATACTAATTATGTTATGCATAGAACTTATTAGTTCAAGAGTGGCTTGGTTTGATTTAGTTCACTAGTTTTCAAACAGGAAAACTACACAACACGACTTATCCAGACCTCTCTAGATAGGCACTTTAGCTTGGTATGTGTACCTGCATGTGTGTGTGTGTGTGTGTGTGTGTGTGTGTGTGTGTGTGTGTGTGTGTGTGTGTGTGTGTGTGTGTGTGTGTGTACGCTCATGTTTATTTGTATTCATATACATGTACGTGTGTAGGCATGTATGTCACAGAGGTCTTGTATACATGAGATGATTTGTGGGAGAATGCACTGACAGATAGAATAGAGAGAGAGAGAGAGAGAGAGAGAGAGAGAGAGAGAGAGAGAGAGAGAGGAATATAAGCAGGGGAAGGGTTATCAAATACAAACACCACCTCTCGCATACACACCTCTCCCTACCCTCCAACTTAATGTGTTCTAGCAGATAGTTTTTTTCTGGCATCGGTCCAATCAAATTGTTTCCGTCACGTTAGGTGTCTCAGCAGATTATATCCCTTTAATAAATGTCTCAGTGGAACCTCTCATTGTGTCAGCTGACTTAGTCACCTCCACAGATTAAGGCTTCATAACAGATCATCCCATTGTATATGTATTAATGCAGCTTTAGTGTGAGGTTATTTGGTTTTGTATATTTGAGGAGGCCCCCATGGATACTGTGAATGGCATCCTTCAGCTACTAATCTCTGACTACCTACCCGCAGAAGCTGCCCCAGTTGAAGAGGCACCCGCCCCTGCTGAGGGCGAGGCTCCCCTGGAAGGTGAAGAGGCCCTTGAACCGCCTCCAGCGCCTAAGAAGAAGCCCAAGTTCTTCGTGCACTGGAACAGGCGCAAGCCCCGCTTCTACGACTACAACTGGGACTACGGGGACAATTACTACAGCTCGCTCGTCAAGTATATGGACACCAAGTCTGGTGGTGAGTTCATGTTGCTCTCTTTCACCGGTGTCCTTCTGTACCTCGTCTCTCATGTCTCTCTTAAACCAACAATTATGTTCTTTGTGAAAGAATCTACCACAGCCGACCCTAATGATTCTTACTGCTAGCAAAGTTAGAATAAAATGTTTTGTTTTCACAAGGAAACTAATAATCAGTTGATATTTCTCTGTGTTACTCGGCTTAATAAGCCATGAATGATAATCATAATACTCTAGTGCTTCATATTCATTATCCCAACATAACGGTAGGAGTCATATCTCACACATTGCAGATATCGCGGAACTTTCTCTTGTTCATGTCCGATTGGCTCACACTATCTCATATCATGTCTCACTGGACGTTGAACAGCAGTATACTGTAGAACACGGCACAAGTTAATAAACAAAACTAGATATGATTTTCTATAGAGGAACCACCCGAATATTTGCAGGTCTCACCTGAAGGAACAAAACTCAGCATATGTGACCCTTCAACTCGTGTTCGACACGTTTAAACTGCATATACAAGAATGAGATTCTTAGATTGACTAATTGAGAGTAATTATTCTGGTCCACAGTCCATCTTCATAGACAAAAGTCTACTCTAAAAGTGTAATAAAGATACAGGTATAATGTAAATTTTAAACTCGTGTCGTAATATGCATATCAGGTAAATAATAAGTAACGTGTGTCCACAGATGTGCCCCGCCGCATGGCCTTCGCTGAGCGCGGCATCCGCAGCAACGTGATCCGCCGCACCGTGCCCGACACCCGCACCGCCTCGCTCCTCGACGACGTCCGGAAGTCTATCAGGAACTTTGAGCTCTCTCAGAAGACCTACATGAAGTAAAGAACCAGTCCCCCAACTCCTGCTATCAGCTGAACGAGTCATCCAAACAGATCATCCTGTGTTGTAGAGGGAAAACTATCTGACTGCTGCCACAGTTGTGCTTGCGTCATCATGGCGCCCGTACGGTCACCTTCAGCGCCTCACGGTCACCAGCAAGTCATGTTGCTCTTAATAGGGAAGAAAAGGGACAAAACCGGAATACCTTTTCTCAAGACCTCTTGTCTTTCACGTTCAAGACAACGCCATCACTCACACTCCTCCATCAGGAGCTCCTTCGTCATAAAAGATTGCAAATTGTGGGCGCCATTTTTTTAAAATAAGATCATCATCATAAATTAGCATCTATTATCTTCAGTTAATTTGTAATTATTATTAACATAACTATTCCTTTAATATCAGATTCTCTTCTTTTGGTATATATGTTAAGCGATGCACACTGTCGCTATCTTTGTGTCTGTATCCTCCAATAGTGTCCTCCTTCTGTGTGCATACTTGTGCATGTACGTATTGGTGTTGTATGTGTACTTTTGTGAGGGTGTGTGTGTTAGTGCCGGCTCGCCCCAACTCAGCTGACCTCACATCGCTGGCGTGTATAGACAAGTACGCCCCCACGGTAACCCCAGCCGCCGTGGCGTAGTGTCATTCCGTCGCGTGTGCGTGGACAGCCACTTCAGCTTAAATACTACACCACAAGCTGTCTTATAGAGGTGGCGGGGAGATCCTTGGGGCCAGGGCGGCCCAGTCTGGTGCGTCGAGCAAGACCCGGACGCTGATCTGCAAGGCCGGACGCCGACCCCACAGACGCTAGTTCGCGGGGCCGGACGCCGACCCCACAGACGCTGGTTCGCGGGGCCGGATGCCGACCCCACAAACACTGGTTCGCGGGGCCGGACGCCGACCCCGCGGACGCTGGTCCACGGGGTCAGCGTGCCCAGTCCATCTTGATGTAAAGACTGAATCGTCAGTGGTCGCTGAGGATCCTCACGCCACGTTATTATTTTTTTTTCACGATCTGATCATATCTATGACTTTTTCAGTAATACTGCTGATGTGTCTGAGATATCAGTAATGATAATGATAACTGAGAAAGAGGACACCTCTTTCTTTCTATTCATAATACTCTCAAATACTTTATCTGTAAAGTGAAGGAGAACTTTGATAAAAAAATAATACCATCTAAAATAAACATGATTGTTTCACTTTCCTAAGATTTCTTAATTTTTTTCAGATATTACACTTAATAATACCACTACTAAAAATATTTTATTTGTAAGAAGGTACAATGGGTTTGTGAGATTACACAGAGCGATATTTTACACTCTTGCAAACTCACTAACACGCATAGCGTTTCGGGAAGGTCCTTAATAGACCTTACCTCAAGTCCTCAGTTATATCGAATAACTTATGTCTTGGGAGATTTACCCTCTTTGACAATTGAAATATAGAGTCGTTTTGGAGAGAATGACGTTATGTTACTTTACGTTACGTAAGGTTTCATGAATACATATTAGGAGTTTGAAATTACGACTTTTTATACCGAAAATATATCAATTGGTGAAAACGGCGTTGGGTCTCATTTCACCCAAACCCACCCTGCAGTTTACAAAATATCTGAAATGTCGGAAATTTGACTCCTGAGCGTCATTTTTGAGCCGAATTCACGCTCACTGCACATATTTGCAGTTTGAAATTACGACATTTTATACCGAAAATATACCATTTACTGACAACAGCGATGGGGGGGTCATATTTTGCCCAAACCCCCCCTGGAGTTTTCAAAATATCGCAAATATCGCAAATGTGACTCATGAGCGTTATTTTCGAGCCGAATTCTGTCTCACTGCACATATTTGCAGTTTGAAATTACGATTTTTTGTACCAAAAATATGCCAATTACTGAAAACGGCGCTGGGTCACAATTTACCAACCCCCCCCCCCTTCCCTGCAGTTTTCATGTCGTAATTTAAAGTCGTAATTTGAAAATGAAAATAGGTGCAGAGAGTCAGAATTCGGCTAAAAATCACGCCCAAGAGTCAAATTTCCGACATTTCAGATGTTTTAAAAACTGCAGGGGGGTTTGGGCAAAATATGACCCATCGCTGTTTTAAGTAATTAGCATATTTTCGGTATAAAAATAATTCGTAATTTGAAAATGAAAATAGGTGCAGAGAGTCAGAATTTGGCTAAAAAATAACGTTCAGGAGTCAAATTTCCGACATTTCAGATATTTTGAAAACTTCAAGGGGGGTTTGGGCAAAATATGACCCATCTCCATTTTCAGTAATTGGCATATTTTCAGTATAAAAAGTCGTAAATTGAAAATGAAAATAGGTGCAGAGAGTTAGAACTTGGCTCAAAAATCACGTTCAGGAGTCAAATTTCCGACATATCAGATATTTTGAAAACTGCAGGGGGGAGGGGGGTTGGGCAAAATATGACTTTCGCCGTTTTTAGTAATTGACATATTTTCGGTATAAAAATTCGTAATTTGAAAATGAAAATACGTGCAGAGAGTCAGAATTCGGTTCTAAATTCACGTTCAGGAATCAAATTTCCGACGTTTCAGATATGGCCCACTGCCTTTTGACGAAAGGCGGTGGAGTTTCTGACGGGGGAAGGAAGAGACAATTGCGCATCGCGTCCCGCAGGCGTGGTGCGGCCAGCCTGGGTGGCATAAAAGGCGCGGGAAGTCAGGTCCCGCTCTCACTCCCTCTCCCGACCAGGTCCAAGATTCACGAAGCGCCCACCCTCCTCCCCCTTTCTGCTGGCTGCCAGTTCTCACGGTTCTGACTACGTCAGTCGTTGGTCCTCACGTTTTCCTCCCGTTTCACTGGGGATGGGTGGGGGGGGGGGGGTGCAGCGCCCGTCCCCAAGTGTTCCGCTGTCCGCAGCTACTACTTTGACTTTACAGACATTCTACTAGTAAGCCCTACCTTGTCAGGTAATTCCTTCCTTGGCGGCTCGGCCTCTGGCCTGGGGTTATTTTCTTCTCCAAATACATATCAGGCTTCCCCAGTCACTGTTTTCTGCCGCCTGATTATTCTCCAGCTAGGGTTTCCCTTATGTTATGTTGTTCACTTTGGTGTCCTGTTATACTTAGTATTAGATTTGTTACATTCGCCTCACTGCTAATTCTAGACATTAGGACATTAGGTTTCTGCAGAGTTTGTTACTAGGCTATAAGATTACGTTTTACTACAGGTGTACAATTTAAGATGTTTCGTGTACTTTGCGTTAGCCACGGCTATGTTATACATTTGTTAGTCCTATTTAAAAGCCTGTTTTACTTCTGCAGAATTATTTATCATGTCAATAAAATTACGCCCCCAAGGCTTGGTGTCTTCCTTCCCCTGATCAGAAAATTTTGAAAACTGCAGAGGGGTTTGGGCAAAATATGACACATCGCCGTTTTCATTAATTGGCATATTTTCGGTATAAAAAACTGTAATTTGAAAATGAAAATACGTGCAGAGAGTCAGAATTCGGTTCTAAATTCACGTTCAGGAATCAAATTTCCGACGTTTCAGATATTTTGAAAACTGCAGGGGGGTTTCGGCAAAATATGACCCATCGCTGATTATAGTAATTGGGATATTTTCGGTATAAAAAGTCGTAATTTGAAAAAAAAAATAAGTTCAGAAAGTCAGAGTTCGGCTCAAAAATCACACTTAGAAATAAAATTTCCGACATTTCAGATATTTTGAAAACTGCAGGGAGGTTTGGGCAAAATATGACCCATCGCCGTTTTCAGTAATTGGGATTTTTCGATATAAAAAGTCGTAATTTGAAAATGAAAATAGGTGCAGAGAGTCATAATTCGGCTGAAAAATCACGCTCAAGAGTCAAATTTCCGACATTTCTGATATTTTGAAAACTGCAGGGGGGTTTGGGCAAAATATGACCCCTCGCCGTTTTCAGTAATTGGGATATTTTCGGTATAAAAAGTCTTAATTTGAAAATGAAAATAGGTGCAGAAAGTTAGAATTTGGCTCAAAAATCACGTTCAGAAGTCAAATTTCCGACATTTCAGATATTTTGAAAACTGCAGGGGGGAGGGGGGGGGGGGGTTGGGCAAAATATGACCCATCGCCATTTTCAGTAATTCGCATATTTTCAGTTTAAAAAGTCGTAAACTGAAAATTAAAATAGGTTTAGAGAGTCACAATTCGGCTCAAAAATCAGGCTCAGGAGTCAAATTTCCGACATTTCAGATATTTTGAAAACTGCCGGGGGGTTTGAGCAAATTATGACCCATCGCCGATTTCAGTAATTGGGATTTTTCGATATAAAAAGTCGTAATTTGAAAATGAAAATAGGTGCAGAGAGTCATAATTCGGCTCAAAAATCAGGCTCAGGAGTCAAATTTTCGACATTTCAGATATTTTGAAAATTGCAGGGAGGTTTGGGCAAAATATGACCCATCGCTGTTTTCAGTAATTGGGATTCTTTGATATAAAAAGTCGTAATTTGAAAATGAAAATAGGTGCAGAGAGTCATAATTCGGCTCAAAAATCACGCTCAAGAGTCAAATTTCCGACATTTCTGATACAGTATTTTGAAAACTGCAGGGGGGTGTGGGCAAAATATGACACATCGCCGTTATAAGTAATTGGCATATTTTCATATAATATGAAAATATGCCAATTATATGGCATATTATGCCATATATATATATATATATATATATATATATATATATATATATATATATATATATATATATATATATATATATATATATATATATATATATATATATATATATATATATATATATATATATATATATATATATATATATATATATATATATATATATATATATATATATATATATATATATATATATATATATATCAGCTGTGCCACGTCAACCTCCTGAAGCAATATAATGGTACTCCTCCCACTGTCCTAATTAACTATTCCACCTTCACAGAACCCTACATCCACAGTGAGACCTTCCCAGCTTCTCCTCCCGAAAGCACTGACAAGGAGTCAGCGCTTTCTAATTCCGAAATCCTTAATGATCTTCCCAAATACTTTCAGGATAATCATAGTGCACCTCTCGTCAAGATCTTCAGAGAACATCAAGAGTTGTTCCGAGATGACCCCCAAGAGTGTAATGTTACCCAGCACGACATCCAACTGCTCCCCGACACCTGGCCGATTCGTCAACCCTTCTACCGAATCAGCCCGAGCAAGAAGGAAGTCATGCGTGCTGAGGTGCAGTACCTCTTGGATCATGGACTGGCTACACCTTGTGAGTCCCCCTGGGCCTCACCTTGTATCTTGGTGCCCAAACCCCAAGGTAAGGTGCGGTTATGTACCGACTATCGTAAACTGAACAATGTAACTGTCAAGGATGCTTACCCCTTGCCAAGGATAGATGACATCCTTGATGCCATTGGTAGTGCCCAGTACTTGTCCCAAGTGGACTTGCTTAAGGGGTACTATCAAGTGTGTCTAACGGAGCGAGCTAAAGAGATATCTGCCTTCATCACTCCTTTTGGACTTTTCAGATATGAACGCCTTAATTCCTTTCGGACTATGTAATGCCCCGGCCACCTTTCAGAGAGCTGTCAACCGTGTCATCCAGGGCTTGGATAACACATACGCCTACCTGGACGATATCGTCGTAGCCTCCAACACCTGGAGTGAACATCTGCTCCAGCTGCGACGTCTGTTCTCCAAGCTCCTGACAGCCGGCCTCACCATCAACCTGGGCAAGTCCACTTTCGCGAAAGGTAAAGTGCGTTATCTGGGTCATGTTATTGGGAGTGGCAGCATAGCTCCGTTAGACTCACACACTCAAGCCATCCAACAGTATCCACAGCCTACCACCAGGAAGCAGCTCCTGCGCTTCCTTGGTCTTGCCTCCTACTACCGTAGGTTTGTGAGGAATTTCAGTACAGTCGCCACACCTCTAATTCTATTAACCAGTCCCAAGCAACGGTATAATTAGACCATGCAGCAAACCGTTGCTTTCGACAACTCAAATTCCTCCTCTGTTCTAACCCCATTCTCGCCTCTCCAGATATCACCAAGCCTTTCGTTCTTCATGTCGACGCCAGTGGTACCGGCGTTGGTGGTGTCCTGATGCAACAACGAGGCGAGGAGGTTCTACCTGTCAGCTACTACAGCTACAAACTGAAACCACACCAGAGGAACTACAGCACTATTGAAAAG